GCACCCCAGCATCAAGTCCGTCAGCACCCAAATGTTGAGTCCATTAGTACCCCAAGGTCAAGTCCTTCAGCACCATGACCTCAAGTCCATCAGCAGCATGACCTCAAGTCCATCATAAAGGCCTTGAATCAGCATTCCCAATGTCAAGTCCTTCAGCACCCCATCATCAAGTCTGTCAGCACCCTAGCGTCGAGTGCGTCAGCACCCCAGCATCAAGCCTGTCAGCACCCAAACGTTGAGTTCGTCAGTACCTCAAGGTCAAGTCCTTCAGCACCATTACCTCAAGTCCATCAGCACCCCAACGTCAAGTCCGTCAGCATCCCAGTGTCAAGTCCGTCAGCACCCCAATGTCAAGTTTGTCAGCACTCCAACGCTGAGTCCTTCCACATCCCAAGGTAAAGTCTGTCAGCACCCAAGCATCAAGTCCATCAGCACCCCAACGTCAAGTCCGTCAGCATCCCAGTGTCAAGTCCGTCAGCACCCCAATGTCAAGTTTGTCAGCACCCCAACACTGAGTCCTTCCACATCCCAACGTAAAGTCTGTCAGCATCCCAGCGTCAAGTCCGTCAGCACCCCGATGTCAAGTTTGTCAGCACCCCAACGCTGAGTCCTTCCACAACCCAAAGTCAAGTCGGTCAGCACCCCAATGTCAAGTCGGTCAGCACCCCAACGTGAAGTCTGTCAGCATCCCAGCGTCAAGTCCATCAGCACCCCAACATCAACTCTGTCAGCATTCCCGCGTCAAGTCCGTCAGCACCCCAAAGTCAGGTTTGTCAGCACCCCAACCTCAAGTCTGTTAGCACCCCAACATTTTGTCCTTCCACATCCCACAGCCAAGTCGGTCAGCACCCCAACGTTGAGTCCTTCCACATCCCAGAGTCAAGTGACTCAGCACCCCAGCGTTCAGTCTCTCAGCACCCCAATGTCAAGTCCATCAGCACCCAGATGTCAAGTCAGTCAGCACCCCGATGTTAAGTCCGTCAGCACCGTAACATAAAGATCTTTAGCACCACAACGTGAAGTTCGTCAGCATCACGACGTCAAGTCCGTCAGTACCCCAATGTTGAGTCCTTCCACACCCCAAAGTCAAGTCCGTCAGCACCGCAACATCAAGCCTATCAGCACCTCGACATCAAGTCCATCATC